CAATTCGACGAATACATTTAATTACGAATACAATTATTATCAATGTAGTATCTTCCAAAAATTCTCTGAAAAATAATATTCAAGAGTTTTATTATCAAATTATTATTCACATCCTTCATAAGCCTTATGTCCATTTGAGAGTATCTTTAAATTTTGTATCCAGTTGCAAAGGAAATAATGTATTGTATTTTTGTATTCTTTATTGTTTCTCTCATTGTTCATTTCTTTCAAGTTTATCCTTTTCATTTGTTTATCGACTTTTATTAATAATTAATTATTTTGAGAATATAATACTATTTCGAAATTAATTATAGAATATTGCTATATCCAATTGAGAATAATTTAGAAAATTCACTAAATTAGACAATTGAGCAATGTTCTCGAGTTAGTTATAGTTACATTCAACACAATGTCTATTAGCAATAGCAAAATAATTTCAATCACAAATATATTTGTACCTTTAATTCGTTATTACGAGTTATTATTGGTTTGGATTTGCCAATACTAACAAAAAATGTTTAATTTATTTCCATACGAATTCTCTAAAACATTCTAAACATATGTTTCTTTATCAGTACAACACATCAGTACGAATTGTCGTTCCTTTATCTTTTTTCTTGGCGACAATTCACCTTTCCACTGTTTCAATTTAGCATAACATAAGACATTCACATGTACCTTTTTATATTCCCATCTATTATTTCCTTGACAAATATGTATACTACGTATCCTTATACTATAGCACGTTTAAACAGTCATAACTTTCTTTTGTAATAGTAATAGTTTAAAAGGCAAGCATATAATTCAAGAAATTAACTCAATTAATTTATTTACTATACAAAAAGATATATATATATTACATCTATTCATACATTCAGCTTATAATTTGTATTATGTGTAGATTTTATTTCTTTTTATTAATTTATTTATAAATAATTATAAATTATATTAATCTCGTGAATGATAATTGCTCTTTTTGATTAAAAATAATTATTATTTAGTTTTATGTATATATATATATATATATATATATATATATATGTTATACAGGACTTGAAAATTTTAAACAATTTTTTCCTTTGTTGCATTGTTCAACCTTATTTTTGAAATATTTGCAAAAAAAAATACTATTAACAAAATTTCTCTTATATATCCCTGGCTGTGACCACCACTTATTCATTGTTCCTACAAACACGTTAATGTGTATAATCCAATGCTCAAATTCAATAGATTTAAAACATTTTAAGCTATAATATGAACAAATAAATTTTTAATTAACTCACCCGTTATATGTTTTAGTTGCCTGCTACGGCCATATGTACATTAACAGAGGATAAGTGGCGGTCGCATACTTACGCACATGCAATGTGGATATATAACAGAAATTCTACGTAATAACGTTTTATTTTTATTTTAAATATCTTTTCGAAAATTAAGACGGCGGAGTAGTATAAAGGACAAAGTTGTTGAAAATATATATTTGTATAACATATCAAAAACATTAAAATCAATGAAAATCTCTGTCTATTCGAGAATAGTGTCACATACCAACGGCCAGAAAGAAGAAACACAAGTCACATATCAATTACACTATATCTAATGAAAAAAACAAATAATAATAATGTGATATTCATTCCACTCAAACGAACTGAAATTTTTAAGAATGAGATTCGTGAATATAAAATTTTAACTTTCTTTAATAGATCTATTCACACATATTGAACGTCTTTTTTTTAAAAGAAACAATAGATAAGCAATCACATTAAGCAAGAACATACACGTAAAATTCGATATATTATACCAAAAGTTTTTCATTAACATCTCGAAAATTAATAAAATATCCGAAGCAAAAATTTCATTCAGCTTTTCTCCTCTCAATCAATTTCGTTTCGTTCCACAATGAGTTGCATAGCACATTTACTCTCCTATATCGAATAATTACCAATTTTCTAACCTCACAATTCGTTCGTAGATATAGCGCAATCGTGGTGTTTCCCTGTGCTCGATTCGCAGTGTCTCTCATCCGTATAAAACACAAGTGTCGTGCAGAGAGCTTGCGCGTGCTCTTACCGCGAAGATAACGAACAGTCTGTATTCTCGTTAGCAGCCGTGGCAGCCGTTAAGATAACAACGAGACACGACACTCGCAGCGAGCCTATGGCACGAAAAGAAGATTTAAAGTCGTCTTAGGATAGTAGAATTTTCATAAATTAGTCCCTAGAGCGTAGAAGTCGCCACCATCGACGTCGTATTGCGTGGGACGTTGGTCGGAGAAAGGGCAGACTGTCATTTTCATTTCCCTTAACCGTGAAACCGTAACCTCGGGCGCGAATTAAATCCACCGTGAAACAACGAGAACTAACCCTCTTTTCACGCAGGTAATTAACATGCCGGTAACTGGTTTAAAGGTTCGTTAAATTTTATAATGTTAATGGAATGCGGTGTCGAACATGACAACGCAGCATAAACGTGTACGCTCGATCGTAACCGCGATACCGGCGCATTATCGTTGAAAAAATTTCACGGGTGTATCGATGATATTAAGCTTTTTTTTTTTTTTTTTGTTTCCAAAAAATTTTACTTTTTACGGAAGAATTTTATAAAGAATCTATGTATTGTTTGAGAAAATTAATTAGATTTAAATGATTTCTTTAATTATGATAAAAAGAAAGAGATTTTGAAAAAAAGGGAAGAGAATGATTATAGTGTGAAATATTTATTATTATGTTTCTTTGATGAAGAAAATTTTGTGAGAATTATAAAATATTGTAAAAATTATAAATTTTGTTATTTAATTGCGACATTATTACGTTTATAATAATTATATTTTATATATTTTGCCCTCATGAATATTATTATAAAAAAGAATTCAATTAATATAAATCTAATTTTTTTTTAAATGATTATTAATTGATTTATTACAGAAACTCCTTTAATATTAAAAATTTTATTTGGCAAATTAAGTATATTATTATTTTCATATCTAAGTAATAAATTTGTTTTTATTATATACTAATATTTTTATTAGTATTGCTTTTCTTACAATTAAACATACAATCTGTACATTACAAGTTAAAAATCTGAATTCGTTTTTAATGTTCACTAATTGATTTGTAAATCTTCTATATATTCATAAAATATATATTCATGATTCAATTTAATAATTTAAAAATTAAAAAATTAAAAAATTAAAAAAGTTAAAAATTTTGTTAATTACAAGAGATATTAAATTTAAGTTAATTTGAAATATTTTTTTTATTTAATTTCTATTCTTATCATTTTAAACAATCATTAATATCTCTTCTATTATTTATTAATAAATTTTTAATATTGTTTTTAATATTAGGAAAAAATAAGATATCCAGCTTGTACAAATGATTTATATTATTATTAAAAAATCATTTTTATTGTTTTATTAAAAAAATCGAAATTATATAAATCGTCACTAATATTTTGAAACAATTCTTATATAATTCATAAAAAATGAAATGACTTGTACAATATATATAACAAAATAATTCATACATACACAATATTAGAAATAAAAAAATTTTAAGAATGAAATTGAAAAAATATCTACAATATTTATATCGTAAAATATATGAATACATAAAAATAATTTACTAATAAAATAAAATATTTTACTAATAATGAGCCATCGAAAATAATCGTAGAATTAATTTAATAGCCATGGTGGAAGAACTAGAAAACAAATCTAATGTGTTACAATCACACGAATGGAATGTAATACATGAACGTGTACACATGGATGCGCCATGCACCACAGTGTGAGCATGAATAAGTCTCGATGCGTTTTCTCGCGTCGAGATCGTTATCCCCGCGGTTTTATTCCGGCCCTAGACAAACCGACATAAATTGAATGTTTCGAGATTGGTGAGAGAAGGGATGGCGCTCGATTGGTAGCCACTTCGTTATGGTATGGGGAAACAGACGAAATTAATGGCAATAACGGTATAATAACTGAATCCCGATACTGAGACGAAACGTGAGGGTGAGTTTCAATGCCGATTGACAATTCAAAGAGATGAAATTATGCATTTGATAATCATCATGTAGATAAGGAAATTGAGGTTTGAACATTATTGAATGTTTCAATTTATATTAAGATTTTTCATCGTTGTAATTGATTATAGTGTAAGATGATAATTAACTTTTAATTTGATCGATAAATCGTGTTTTGAGAAATTGGAGCACTTTTATTACACATTCCACGTTTGTATTTATTTAATCGTTCGTTTTAATTCGGAAAATTAAATTTATATATATAGTCAGTCACAAAAGTTTCCATTCATCGTAATAAAAATCTGAATAAGTATATGTAGATAACAGATTATAAATAATTTATTTTTTAATAAAAAATCTCTTTGAATTCATGAAATCAATTTTCGAATTCTTGTTATTTTTTGTACGTTCAATTTAATCTGGAAATATTTTTACAATAAGTGTATAATGTAATAAAATATTAAAATTTAGATATTTCATAGTTTAAAAATTAATTTAAAAAAAAAACGAAAATAATATTGAAACTTTAAAGATTGATGTCCATATATAATTTTCGATAACACAACTTATCAATCAATTTTTGTGACTAGCTCTATGTATTATCGAATGAATTATTCATTTTTATATTTAACAAGTGAATTTATTATTAATAATACGTTAAAAATAGCGATATATGCATGCATCACACGGTTAATCATCACTCGTTAATTTTTACATAACAAAACTATTTCATCCTCTCGAAATTTCATCAAACTAATATCTTTCAATCTATAATAGATATTATATACGATCGATCTACGTCCCCATCATGATATTCATATCAATATTCTTATATAGAACTTATAATTCGTAAGAGGTAAACGAACATGGTGGTAAATACATGCAAACGATTGGAACGGGTAACCCCCGATTAATAGATCAATGGGAACAGACTATTCTAAATTAGCAGTGATTAATGCCTGTCGAGGAGTACTTACGTTTGCAGGCCTTACGATGTTGGATCGGTCTAGCCGGATCCCTGTAGTAACCTTCCCGACAATAGTGACAGTGTCTTCCTGCCGTAAAATGCCGGCATTGCAGACAAACGCCTCCGCTGACACGTCCCGACAGCTTGTACAGTTCCATGTTGAATCTGCACTTTCTTGCGTGGAGATTGCAGTTACATTCTGAAACAAATATACGCCTGATTATTCGACCAATCTCCACTCCCTTCTCGATCGAGTCGAAAATCTTGAAATGTTGATTACATTACGACTGGTTGAAGTGGATTATTAACTTAAGTATATAACGATCGTTTTGTCACGTATAGTGAGTCTGTAGAAGGATTTTTGAAAAATTTTATATTTTGAATTATAATTATTATTATACTTTGTTTAGAAATTAGTTAAATTTTTAAAATAGATTTTTTTCAATAGAAAATTGGCTTTTCAAAGTTTATCAGATTTGTGAAGTTTATCTTAATCAAGGTTAATCTTAATAATCAATGAATTAATCTAATAATACTTATATCTATAATATCTATAATAACTTATTACTATGTATATATATGTTAATCTATACAAGTTAATTTATCTATAATTAACATAGATTAATCCGATTAACATATATTACAGTTGTTTAACAACTATCTTATATATTATTTTAATAGAAATTTTAACTAAAAAGTATAAAATTTTTTTCAATAAATTTATCATTATTCTACTATTGCTTGATATACACACAAAAAGATGAAAAGATATATAAGATATTCTAAGATATATATTATCTTATATTTTTGTTCTAAAACATTTATAATTCTTTTTATATAAAATATAAAATATTTTGTATATAAAATATAAAAATTAATTTATAAACATATATCTTAAATGTGTTATTGAATATATCGAACTTTTGAATATTTTATGATACAAAAATAAATATATATAAATGTCCAAATGCAACTCTATATTATATTTATGATATGATTTATTGATAATTTAGATTATCGAATTAAAGTTTCATTATATGTTTCACATACATTTGAATTTACAAATTTGTCACGAATGATTTCGACAATTGGATAAAAATGAAGAGGTAAATTTTAAATTTAAAAATAACAATTAAAGTTAGATATATCGAAAATTAACTGAATCAACAACTAAATCAACAAATTTATATCAATTCAAAAAAAAAAGAGATGGTAAAAGAGAGACAGAAATAGACAAAATATAATTTTTTTTAAATATAACTATATAATATAATTTTAAATATAAATGATTTTTTTTTAATATAAACAAAGAAAAATAAACAATTTCAATGTGTCAAAACATATATCACATTATATTAAATTAATTTCATTTTTTAAATGAATGAAATTTATAGTTATCTCTGAAATAAATTTCATATGAAGAATATTTCTTATTCCGAATAGGATTTGGATATTTCATTTCATAATTACATGATATAACAATTATAAATAAAATCGAAATTTGTAAAATTAATAGATTGGAATAACTGAAAATAAAATTTAAAAAAATAGATATTAGATGTCGCTGAAATTATTTTTGTAATATTCAAAATTGTAAAAAAATAGAAAGAAAAAGTGGATTTTTTCGAAATTTTCTTCCTATATCAAGCATTAACAATGCTTTACAAGTTATCTAGGTTAGAATATAAGGTATAGTCACCTTTTAAATGAAATCAATACGTTAGTTATATTTTGCTTTGTGAAATGTGAATAAATGTTCTACGCATTCTCTCGGTTATAAGAAATAAAAATATTTAATAAAAAATTTTCCATTTATGAAAAATTATAAATAAATAACTAAGAAAATAATATATTTGTTATTTGAAAATTATCTCGCGATACTTATTATGATAAAATAAATTGATTCAAAATTTAAAAAAATTTTTAAAATTGAAATATTATACATAAACTTCTAAAATTAATTAAAATAATAAAAATAATAGAAATTGCATGTAAATATTTTTTAAACAAAGTACACATTTTTTTCTACTCCGCAAAAAATATTCTACATAAGAAAATAGAGGAAAAAGAACATCACATATCTCTAGAGATACGATTTCTTTTTTTTATCTTACTTATACAGGGTATTCTTAGCGATATTAAATGCAAATAAAAAAAATATTTGAAATAAATTTTATTAAATTTGTTAATAGTTATTTAAATAACAACAAATTAATATGTATACTGTTTCATTTTAAAAAATGAAAAAGAAGAATTTTCAAATTTCAAGATATACAAAAAATTTATTGCATCTTATATTACTAGATTATTCTATGCCATTTCATTTAATTTAAAAAAAAATTTAGATATCCGCAGTAATTTTGGAGAAAATAATATTTGTAATACTTTATGTACTTTGTTCTCTATATTGTCATTTTCTTTTATTTTCTTACTAAAAATTGTTTAAAATTCTGGAATAGTATTAAATACATGTTATCAAATATAAAAATAGAACACATGTTGAATATGAAAATACTAATTATTTTATTTAAAATGTAACAAATTAACAATTTTGTAACAATTAGATAAAAATCTTCTATTCTACTCATTAAAGAATATTTTTTGTTTCCTACAAACTATAACTTTTTCATTTTTATCAAATCAACAATTCATATTCCACGAATAATTTGCATTTTTCTCTTTCATTAAATCCTACACCACATCCTTAAAATCTTAAAAATTTCGAATTCAAAACAAGATACAACAAAAGAAGCATTGCAGCATATATATTTTTCTTAACATTATCTCGCGTTTCAATCTTTACGAAACAAAACTTGAAATGTCGTTCACGATAATGTCATCGCGTTCCTCGAGAAGTTAACTTAATTGAGGGAGAATTTTTACGGCATTTATCACAGTAATGAGTTTCGAGTGCATTCATTCGACGCTACTTCGCAGCGTCGAACACCGTCTTGTCTCCTTTTCGCGATGACAGTTTTCCCCTACTTCCGTCTTCCGTGCCGTTTTCCCTCTTTACCCCGGAAAAGTGGCAACCCGGTGTCGTATCGAGGGCTGAACCATCGTCCATTGAATTCTCGAGAACCGAAGAAGAAGAAGAAGACGAAGAAGGAGAAAAGGAAGGAAGAGGAGAAGAAGAAGAAGAGGAAGAAGAAGAAGAAGAAGAAGAAGAAGAAGAAGAATCTCGAGAGTAATCGTGCCGTAACTTCCTCTACTCGAGCACGCCGTTCTTCTTCGTGACTTCTTGAAAATAACGGAATAATTGAAAGGCAGCAATCGGACGGCATGGAGGCGAGAATGAGTATAAAGATCGGTATGGAACTATGCAATTTTAACGACCTCTTCTCGCTCTATATTCGTGAATACATACGCGATCACTCGACCCAATAATCCGTCGAAGCCGAAGCGGATCCTGTTTTAGACGCAATTGCCACGCATCCTGTTCTCTTAACTCGTTCTGTTCTAACTCTTCGCGTCCGCATTAACGTTTTCGATACCGAAATAGATTTTTACGGTCGTGAAATGGATTCGGCCTCGTGGTACGAATTCTCGGTTCCAGTTCTAGTTACGAGCTGAGAGAAGATTCGACGTTTTTTGTGTTTTACGAGCGGGTTGATAAATAGATAGATACAGTGAGAGAGAAAAGTATTGTCGTGCTTGAATTATGAAAATTCTGTTTTTATGAATGTTTTTATGAATATAAATATAAGTAAATATTATTTATATGAGATCAATCATTGACGACTTTTCTCCATATTTTTTTCGTGATTTGTGAATAATGGAATATATACACAAGGTGTTAATATATTTGGAGGATGAAAATGTGAAATTAAGATTTATAAACAGACTGCAGATTTTTATGCGGTTAAAACAAGCTCAAATATCGTGTTATTCAAAATATATATTTTTTTAAAAATTTATTATTTTATGTAATTAATTATATATATAAAATATATTTTATTTTGTATAAAAGAAAAAAGAATCTTTTACAAGATATAATATATTTTCTTTCTACTTTTTCTATAAATAAATTAGTCAAAATTTTTCCAATTTTCAAACAAAAATTTTATTTGAAATATGATTAAATTTGTTTAGAATATTCGATTATGATACGAATAAAATATCAAAAGAAAAATATGTATTTGCAGACAAAAATCTGCAGACTAATTACAATTAAACTTTGTGTTAAATAAAGCGAAATAAAATTTATGTATTTATGTCTTCTTTAAAATCTTCTGATATATTACAATATAATAAGAACTATATATAACTTGGTAATAAGAATGTTCCATAGTAGGAACAAAATAACAGCAACACTGTTCAGAGCTTAAAGGATTAAGTAGTTTAAAATTAAATATCTTGAAGTATTATTAACTCAATGGTATTATTTAAAAATTACATAATTTTAATAGAATTCAATGCTTTTTAACAAATTATTTATTACAATATATTTATAATTACATAATGAAATATTTTTAGATAAGATACAAATTGAATTAACGTTCAAGTTATATTAATAGTAAATAATAGATTATTTAAAAATATAAATATCTTTTTCAGAAAAAATAAAAATCTTTCTTTCTAATACAAACGAACAAAATTACAAATATTAATAGTATAAATTGAAAATTCAATTTAAACTGATGACAATGGCTTGAAACGAGATTTGAAACATAGTTTACATATTACTAGCTAAACGATTAAGTTACATTAATTTCTATATTTATTATTTATATAAAAAAATTCAAAAACAATTCTCATTTCGTATATATAACTCTCTCTAAATATGTGAATACTTCCTTAATTGCAACATATATTTAAAAAAAAAGTTAAAAAACCTACCATAATATGTATACTTCATCAAATTTTATGTATTTATGAATAATTGTATTAGAGAATATATTTAATCAGTATTTAATATCTTTTCAATAAAAAGAATATATTCAATATAAAGTTGATTAAATTTTTTTTTCATCAATATATCTACCATATAACTAGTCTTGCATTATTAATTTTTTTTATTTTTTATATGATTTTTATATGATTATTTTTAGAAACTCTTAATTATTTACGGAATTTAAAAAAATCAAGTTATTTAATGTAATAACTATCATTAGATTGGATTGTAGTTATTAAATAGATACACATCTGTTATAAAATTTAATAACAAACATAATATGTAATATAACATTATTATTGTTA